GTGCCACATATCTTCAGACCCTTCTGTATCTTTTTCTTGCTTTGCTGTTTCTCTCTCAATCCATATTGCAAAACACCAAGCTATGAGGGCTGCTCCAAAAGTATTGCCTCCTATTTAATAATGTTAGCCCAGGACATCAGAGGCATACATTGATGGAATGACAGTAGAGGTTGAACCCTTTGAACAATATTCAGCTACATTTTATTGCCGTGCAATAGATGGCACCAGAGCAACACTCTGACAAAGAGGCTTCTAATGTGGAAGTGTGTATGAAATAAAGGTGTTTCACTGAATTCTTCCATATGGAAGGAGTGCACCCACTGACATTCATCAACACTTGCTGAATATTTATGGAGACCAGTGAGGAGTGAGCACAATGAGGGGTGGGTGGTACATTTCAACAGTGGCAACAGAGACGTGAAATATAATCCACTTTTCAGAAGTCCATGCACAGCTGTCACATCATGAAATGAAGAGCATCTCAGTCAGCTCATCTTCACAAGTCTGCTTATGGTGGTGACTATGTTGAAAAACAGTGTTCTGTAGTTGAAAATTCACTCCATCCAATAGCGTTATTGTGCTCTTAGTAATGCTTCTGTTTCCATGGAAATATATAGAGGTCACAGGTCACTACTTTCGGAGTGACCTATGTATCTTAATCACATTATGTGAAAGAAAAATTGTCACAAGAAAAAACTGGCAATGCTTAAAATTCTTTTGATATGAAAAGAGCTAGAGAATATAAATACTGTCCAAGTAATTAATGCATTTTAACTGCCTACAATGAAACAACTAATTGGGTCCTTTTCCTTCTTTTCTCTCATGAAGACTACAGAAATTGGACAAAAAGAAGGTAATTTTCTTGCTATGATTGTTGTCATCTACACTATTAAATGGAAACATTCACAATTTCGATTTATTGCAGTATATCAAAATAATCGCACTCTCAAATCTTTTATTAATCCACCATTAACTATTCTTCTCAATTTAATTCTCCATATATCCCTTAAGAAAGTTTTCTTACCAAAATGGTAAAAGCAAAGATTAAAATAAAACAGTAAATTAACAATTATTATTTATTTTTAAGTTTATATATGAATGTTAATTGACTTTGTGAACAACTTGACTATTAAATCAACTTTTTGACTTTGTAGAGCAGCTGTCTGGGAGAAACCTCATCTCTCTGTTATGAGCAATGTTTTTGGAGATGTTTTTAGAGACTGCTATATAAAGCTGTGAACATTCTGGCACAGTCATTACAGAAATGAGTCAGTTGAGACTGACTCACTCAGATACATGGAACAGAACTGAGTGGATCTATCTTTTGAGTTTGGAATGCTCTTGTAATGTGCCTTTTACACCTATTAGTGTGTGTAGCAGGGGACAGTGGAAATGTCAAAAATAAGTCAAAATTATTGAGTTTTATAACCTCTGACATTTTTTTTTTTCTTGCCAGGAAAGAGATTTAAATGAAAAAAATCTTGGGGAAGAGGGGAATGATTAACACAATGCCAAGCCCATGAAAGGGTTTTGTGAACATCTGTGTGTCTAAGGACAGAGAGCACAAACTTTTATGCTTTTATCTTCTGTGAACCCATAAGCATGAAGACTTGTTATGAGTGGAGGTGACTTCTATACTGTTAACTATACTCTCTCTTCATCTATAGGACTTCAATGGGGGGGATGCAGAATCATCTAGATTAACTTTAGATTAACAAAGGATTTCCACAGGAGAGGGATCCCTCTTTCCACAACTAGGTGAAAAACCCCAGTCTTCTTTGCCTCTTCCCTTTAATAAAAACAGAACAGTAACATGGATCCACACAGAGCTTTAATGTTACATAAGTTCGATAAAAAGGAGACTACCTATACAACACTTCTTTAGACCCCTGAATTGTTTCTACTAATACATTTTATTCTGATTTTGTTGTGCATTCCTCAGCATGGTTTTCAGGCTTTGAGATACCCCTGACAAATATATAAAAGACAATACTCTTCTCTGACATCAAATTGTGTTTAGATTTTTGAGTTACTAGGTAATGTACCAGTAAAAGAATAATTAATTCCTGAAGGACTGAACATAAAAGCAAGCATACATTTGTCTGAGAAAATGAAAAGTTTGACTAAAGAAGATGTTTATGAATTATCATACTATTATCTAACTGGATCAGTAACTTTTTCTCATGCTGTTTACTAAATTCCATGCAAATTAAAAAAGGGATGGGTCACACAGTTCCAGAAATAACTGACGATGGTTTAAATTTTTTTTTCCCATTAATTCAGGCTTTTGATAATGAGAAGGCACAATCATCATAATGTAAAATGCCACAGATTTAAAGGTTCACTGAGATCCTTATATCCTGCAGTATATTTCTGTAAGGGCATTTCTTGTGACTAGATGTACCATTCCTCAAGGTGGATTGTGTAATAGTCTTGCAGAACACGGGAATGTCCTGTGAAATTTACCTGAGGTGATTCATAAGTATCTAGTAATAATTTTAGAATAGTAGTAATGAAATCTACTCAACAAGAATATTATATCAGCTACTGGAAGTCCAGTTGAAAGATATCTCAGATGTTGGAAATCCATTTTAAAGACTTTATTAATCTGTATGTTGCAACTGTATGATGTAAAGTAAACTTCTGTATCTTTAAAGTACGATCAAACAAGAAATAAGAAACTAAGGTATAGAGAAATGCTACTTCTAACCTACCTAGAAACAAAGTTATATATATATATATATATATATATTTAAAGTTTTGTAGGTCAAAAGTATATTAATAGCTTCCCAACCGCATGCCTTTATGAACTCCTTCAAGTCAGAACTCTTAACTGGAATATGAAGCAGAAGCATCACAGGAAAATATGATTACATGGCACTTTTTGTTCAGTCAGGAAAAGATACAACTGAAAACTTGACCCTCAAGTCATTTGTTGCAGGTTTGTGAACATTATTTATGAGTCCAAGAGTGGAGAGGGTGACAAGGCCTAAAGAGAGCATCTTGTCCATTTCCTTCTGTCATTAGCATAAAGCACTTTTAATGAAATCAAGTCTGATGAAGGTAAATCTAGAAGTTCGTTATCTGCACTGGCACTGCCTCCTCTGCATTTAAAAATTTCTCCACCAAATGTCTCTGTAACTAATTCAGAGGACTCATTTGCCTGATTGAATCTGGAAAATAACTCTTTTAAAACTCTTTCAAACTTCCTTTCAAATACAAGCTTTCCAAAAAACAGCTTTCCAACCCTTTGTCCCTCAGATTGTCTGACCAAGAGATCTTATCTATCAGTGTTTCGAACTCGAGGAAATCTCATCTTCTCAGTCATTTTGCTGCATTCCATTTCTAAGAGAATTTCTGATTTTTTAGTGATTGATCACATTCTTCTGGTTCCCTTCTTCTTTCACTTTCTCTTAAATAGTATCCCTTTGTTACTGTAGCACTAAATTGTACACTTTACAATATGTAGTAGAGCAGAAACCTGGAAGAATGTCTTCCAGCTATTCTTTTTATTGCAGGGCATGCATATTGTGAAAATGGACACTTCAGAGTAGTGGAAAACAAGGTTCTAACTGAAAACGGAACAGAATACCTGAATCACGTCGGTGCACTAAATGTGCAAGCACATCACAGATACAGGTTATTTACGATCACATAACAAAACAATCAAGGACAGCAAACACCAACATGGAACACCAAGCACTTTGTCCTTCAAGAATGCAAGCTCCCAGAAAGCTGGGAAGCTTCTGCTGCATGACTCAAAACACATTCTCTTTAAAGACAGATCATCTCAGTTCCTTCACCAGAACCATTCCTCTTACTGTTACTTAGTCCTTGGAGCGCTTGGCTGTTTCCCATGGTCTCTCTGTTTTTTATTTCTATTTTTCTGGTGAGAAAGGACTACTATATAATTCTTTTGCTTTTTACTTTTCACTACAATATTTTTTCACACTCTAAGTATTATTAAAGCTTAAAAATGTAATTTCAGGCTTGACATCAATTTATCACATGAAGGCCACAATATTAACATACAAATAATCTATGGAGGTAGGAACTGGGTAATCTGATACCATCACAACCTTTATACATTGGACTTATATTTAGCTCAGCTTATTCCTGAAAGTTAAGTTGGTCACTGTAACTGCCTCATAACAATGCTTTCAGAAAGAAAAGATTTCATAACACTGTCTTAAACTTCTTGGGATGGTTATAACTCATCATGTGAATATGGCACTGCAAAAACTGAATATGATTTCTTCTCTCCTTGAACAATGAAAGTCATCTACAGATCACACAGGAACTGTCTGCCATTTCACATACTGTGAGAGATATATTAACTGTTCCTTAACCCTAAGATGATAACCTGTGAAACCTTGCAGACACATCTTCACTGTTGAACAGTTCCTGTTCAACACTGAATATAACCATACAATTAAGCTTTCACTCATAACTAAGCAAAGCAATACTAGAATCATTTAAAAACAAACAAACAAACAAAAAAACCAACACAGAACAAAAACTTACATTCAGAACACCTTTAATTCCAAAAGAGTGACAAAAATTATGAACTATGATGCCTCTTTGTTGCCAAGCAGGGTTGCATCGACAGTAATTCCAATGCAAAGACACTTATCTTGTTTTAAACATTAGCACCCAAAATAACCAGTCTTAAAAGGTCATGTTTATTTAAAAATAGCTTGCTTGCATTTTACATTCAAGTTAATTTACTAACCTCAAAAAAATTAAATGCAAATGTATACAAATAATTTAAGCATCCTGTCAAAGTTCACATACATACTGCTAACGCAATTAAGTACTCAAGGTCACAAGTAATTTTCCTTAACCATGAGCCATCACCACATGGATAATTCTATTAAATTTGTTTTGAACTAAAATCTTTGAAGTCTCTCTTTAGCAATTTATATTCTTTTTAAAAACCAAACCTATAATTTCCTGTTTATAATGTGCTTTTCAGGCCATAACAAAGAAGCATACTGTACCTCTGGTGCTGATGGCTCTTGCCGATGTGGTTGTGCTGGCTGTTAAGGCTACAGTGGTTGTGACTGTTGCAGTGGTAAGGGAGGGGATGACAGTAGTGGGAAGCAAAGTGTTGAAAACATCTGGTGAGTGGAAAAAAAATATAAAATAAAATCATATCATGCAAACAAAGGAGAACCATAATAGTGGTTTAATTTGTAAATACAAGTATGTCAAAAAATGATTAAATTAAAACATGATTAACACAAATTATTACACGTACAACAGTGGTACCTTTAAATTCTTGACATTATATCACTCTCAATTTTTTATAGTCAGTGTGCTAGCAAACAGGATTTAAAATACTGTTAAAACAACCATGTTTCCATAGATCTGGAGAGTGAATGTTTAAGTGACAAGAATCCATTTCTTCACTGAGCCATTTTAAATGTCTCATACAGTAGAAACCATATACAGATGAAACATGCTGTGTCAGAGTGGGAGATGAAACAACAACACCATCATGCTAAAATAAACACACACATGTTAACGAGAAATGGCTGTATGTTAAAACACCCACTTTCAGACAGACTCAATGGACGGAAAAAGGGGAGAAAATGCTACTAACTATAAAAGCTGCTTTTTCCGGATTGCTTTTCTTCTTCCCACACACTTGTTTAAGACACAGTTGTCTGCTAAGATCTAGAGCAGAGTATATTTCAAAATCTTTACCCTAATTAGTAGGCAATCATCTTGCAATCATCTTTAATACATACATGTTATCATCAATATATAGCTTAGAACTGAAAAATCAGAAAAGCCAATTATATTACTGTTGAAAAAGTAAGTATACAAGTCAGAGAAGATGCAAGGCCCAGATGACAGCATCCTGCAAAACCCTTCTGATCAAATACAGGTATGCCAAGCACAGGCAGCTGCCATTTCATTGCAGAGGAACCAGCAAACTGTTGCAAAATGTTCCTGTACAGAGTAGAACATAACCAGATGTACAGATAGAAAACACTTTGATTACACTGCCAAAAGCAATCAAGACCAGTATCACTTTGCTTATAAGGTGATTGCAGGTTTTAAAGAACAAACAAACAAAAGCCCTGAAGAGAAATACAGGAAAGCACTTCTGTGAGGAAGTAAAAAGCATCTGACAATTTTCAGATTATTTATACCACAGCTTTAAAAGGAAAGGACTAGTTTCTCATCAATTGATGGTAAGTAAGCCATTCCACACTGATTTCAGGAAGAAAACACAACCAATTCTGAAGGGTGCTATTCAATGCAATGCAGCAGAGGAGAACAAGCCTGACCCATGATCTATCTTCCCTTGCTGTGGAAGGAAATGCAATTGGTGTCTGAGTACCATCAATTCTGACTGAAATTAATGGAAGCTAAAACAGCTCATCCCTTTACAGTACTGGGCCCAACAGAAGACATTTCAGAGACAGGGTTCATGAGTTCAGCACAGCATAATTATTCCCTTAAGACTTCAAATTATAATGTTTGCCTTATTTTCACGATGGATGACAGATTACTTTGCCACTTAAAAAGTTTTCTTGTCAGTTAATATCTATGAGTCACCTGTATTATTACTCCGTATTATTCTGGTTTGGATGAACACCAGCATTATCCCCTACAGAACCTATACCTGTGGGATTTCCCTCCTGGAAACCTTCAGAAAATGGCATGAGATCTGTCTTTTGCCTGCTGTATACTGATATTTACATCTGTTTTGCAGTATGAAATATTAGAAACCAGAAAAATTAAAACAGGTTTTTCAAAAAAGACAGTGTAGCCACATTAATCATCAGGAAGAACTGCCACACTACCTGGAATGTGAATATCATGATAATTAAACAGAATGGAGTTGAACAATCATTAGAAATAAATTAACATTTTCCAAAAGATACGTCACATGTACTGATCTATGCAACTTCTTTTCATAAAGAGAAACTCCTTAGATAAGTATCTGTTAAAAATGAAATCAAAGCAACAAAAGTGCCTTCTTCATAAGGATAGTAAATCCTTGTTTAGTAGAAAAGCTTTACAAATCAGCCTCGTACATAGAAGTTAATTAATGTGACATATTTCCCATAATTATATTTCTTAAATATGTTACTTAATATTTTGCAATGGCAAGTCAGTTGCAACTGACAAATTATTGTCTTATGACAGTTTTTTGTTCTACAAACACACTGTCTACCTAGTTTGCCACACACCAGATTACATGAGTCCCTGGCGAATTTAGATACTGACTGCTTTCCAGTTTCTATTCTAACTGAAACATTTCCAACAAGATTTATTATATTAAAAGAAAGCCAATGTAGGAAACTGAGACTGGTTAACAAGAACTAGAAGTTCCAAGTATTTTAACACAGATATAGTAGGTTCATCTTTTCTGACCACTCCAAGAGCAACAAAAACTTATGTTGACTGAAGTCACTAACTCTGATGCAAAGCATCAATGTGGCAGCTTATCAGAAACCTCGAAGAAAAAACATTTCCTCAAAGGAAACATAAAAGCAAGGAATAGGACTGGCTTTTCTTCTTTCTTACCAGAGAAAGGAGAAATTCACTATGCAAACGACTGCAGCCAATTTGCTTTGTTCGTAGCATTACAGCTACTTGCTCTCAATAACCAAAGAACAAGACAGGAACCAAAATCAGCCAGACTAGCCCAAAGAAATTTAAGTTTAATGGTATCTATCCTTTAACAATGAGTGTGTCATGGGAAAGTATGCATAAAGTGAGAAAATAGCTAACTGCCTTACCATCAACAGATTTTGGAACTCTTGCATCACTTTCTGTCCTTAAATCTATTTGGGGCAGCCTAAGCCTAGATAAAAATTTGCATTCTAAATAGCGCTTGAGTACCACATTCATGTAATATCCTTATTTGCGCATAACAGTCCTACTGAGCCTCTGTGACAGAAAGAATCTTTTTCAGTTTTTCTAGGAAGATTTATGGGTTCCTGAAAAAACCCTAATGTCTTTGCCTTGAAAATGTGTTTTTTATTTTTGTTCTTTTTTGCTTTTTGCTTGTTTGTTTCTTACATGAGAGAATGCAGAACACAGGCGTCAAAAGAAAGAATAATAATCTGCAACAGCCTTCATTTTCTCCTTGTTTACCGAATACGTGGGAAGTAAGTGAGTTTGGTAGCCCCAAGAATCAGATAGACTGCAAATATAAACTGTAAAAGAGTTACATATAAACAAAAGTTTTATATGAAATACAAACAGAGCACAGGCTTCTGTTTATGGAATATGAATATCAGTATTTTAAATATCCATATAAATGTAGGAAAAAGGTATTACTAATTTGACTATTTCTAGTTCTATACTTTTTTTGGCAGTATTTTCACTTTGGGACACGCTTACCATGCTTCCAGTGAAGCAGATCCCTGCGTTACCCCCATCTTTGTTTTTTAGCAGTTACTGAGAAACATACTACTAAAAAGGCTGTATAGCTTTGATCTCTCCTTGAGCTCTCTGTCAAGAAGTATCTCAATGGATTTGCAAACTTCAGTCCAGCAAATGTGTGTTGCAGAGATATCTAATTCTATTTTCTGGCCTTGCAGTTTCTGAATCTGCTTGTACAGAATGTTCAGCCAAAAACAAATTTTTGTTTATGACTTTCATGCCCCTAAATACTGAGGATTGCTATGACCATGGGACCACGTAGAGTGGAACTTTTCAATTCAGGTGGCCATACTCAAACCAATGCACCAGATTGCTGTATCCATAATATTTAAGTATTAATCCTCATCTTCCTTTGAAGCAGAAAATAGCCATATTTTGCAGGTGGGGAATCAAAGAGGACAGAAAAGCCATGTTAGATATATAAATCAAACAATAATTGCCACTGTTAGTTTAGAAATCTCACCACAATAAGGCGTGTTTAGTGTAACATATTCTATCAAAAATTAAGTAATGTAATAAACATGGTATTCCATCACCTTGCTATCTCTGAAATACAAACAATTCACTGAGAACTAAGTGTTTCCATAAAAGTTTCCGAAAACAGAAAAAGGATTAGGTATCATGCAGGAGAGAATAAGAGACTCTATACTCAATACTTTTTCATGAATATTCCCACAGGTTATGCATGAGATTGCAACTGGATTTTCAATGAAAAATGGTTCAGTGGATGCAGAGAGAAGCATGGAAAATGTTTTAAGGGAGTTCTTCATGGAATGCTACAGTATGTTAGCATGACTTTAAGCCACACTAGCAGTGGCAAGGTGAAGGCAGACAGCAGGTAATCTAACTGCTGATTGTAAATGGAGAGTAAAGAAAGGAGGAGAATGTACTACTTGGCTTGTTCAGGAGGCTGCTCTTTAGGAGAGGCACAAATACAACCTGCTTATGAGTGTCAGAATGTTGCTGTACAAGACTAGCTCACAACACTGTCCAGATGTGCCCAGTCATAATTTTATGCTTGCCTCTCGTTTTCTCTTGTTAATCTAACAGAAGACATTCACCCATTTAAGTGCAAGGAGCCTGGACACTTTACTCTCACTGCAGATTTGGCTCTAAGCACTTTTACTCTCCATTTCTAAATAAATGAGAAATGGTTCTGTTTGGTTTGGTAGGCTTACACGAAGCAGAGATCTGACCTATTGAGAATATCTGATTGGTTTGGGGGGAATAAAAAAAGAAAGAAAAACAACAAAAAAACAATAAGCTGAAATGACTGAGCACAATTCAGACAACAATGGCTACAGTTGATAAAAATGTAAAGGTTTTTGTTTCAAGCTTGACAAAGTCTGACATAAAAATTAAAGGCCAGACTGATAATGATGGATGGCCTGTGCTGTATTTTTACAAAGAGCGAAAGAAGTTTTAAGTGCTAAACTGAACTGAGTGATGACCTACCTGGGAAACAACCTCACTACTCTGCACAAAATTTAATCAGCCTGTGGTATGTAGTACTAAATAATTTAGCAAGGTTTTAAATTCAAAGGGAGCTGCATTTAGAGTTGCTCCCAGAAAATGGGATCGAACAAAGAGATAATTCAGCCTGAATATCATGTGCCAATATCTCCTTAGCACTTTAGACTAAATGATCATGAAGCCTTGCAGACATGAGGTCAAGGGGTTCTCTTTACTAATTGATTCAGATTTATGAAAC